CATCTTTGTTTTACCTGTTCATTGTAATTTGCTATTGCTTTTTAAAGAATTCCTTGTATTACTATATGCTTTTGTGACTACAGTATGATGTATATTACCCTATGCACTTTCAGTTGTTGTTGTTGTTCAGTCGTTAAGGTAAGCCTAATATAAATGATTATAATTTTTAATTTTATATTCAAAGTTTTAATAACATACAGTCATAGATTAGTACTGTATATAGCATAGAAAGTAAAGAAATAATTTCACCATGTCCCTGGCTCCACAGGTTGCTAGATCAGATAAAGAAGTAGGTTTTCTACAACCCTTAAGAAAATAGTGCAACACCATTTTCACCTTCAAAGACAAAGATCCCCATTTCACAAAGATCACGGTTAGAATGTCACAAGGCCCCATCATTAAGCAAAATGATCTGCTCAAGCTACAGATAATGGGAGCACAGCAATTGTAGACCCTTAAGCTGTTTTTCCAGAGACTCCTACCTGCTCTTCCCCACCATACCCTTTGGAAAATAGAGCTGTATGTACCATACAGCCTGTCTTGCATCCTCTAAATTAATATATTGCCCTCAATGCCGTGAAACAAGTTTTCCCAGCATCAGTTTTGAAATAATATTCAATAGGCAATCCAACAGGCTTCTGTTTGTGGAACTAGGGAGAAATAGCATACCATTCTTTGCTTCAGGCAGTAATATATGCAATATCAGCCCTGGGACACCATATTTTTGAGGGTATACATTTTTAAAATATTAAACCTGAATTTCTGCAGAGTTCAATAACTTGGTACCCAAAGCAGAATAAATTATACATCATATACAAAAATTAATGTATATTCTGTGGCACAATTCTATATTTCATAGAAGACTGCACATTTCAGTTATGTCTAAACGTCTCACCTTGCCTTAATGTGTCAGGCAGAGTGATAATCACAAACATTCCTGTTTGTGCAGAGCGCAGCAAAAACTCCAGGAAAATATTAGCCATGACAGCAAACACAATGCAATGTCCATTTCTTGTTTCCCAAAGAAATCCAGTCAGAAAATATATACTAACTGGTGTTTATTGATAAAAATGCAAACCGAGATCATGTGAAAAACACCTGTTATTGTGTGTTGTGTATTGTGCTATTTACTGCCACCTATTGGCGTGTGTATGCTAGTTACCCAGTGGGGGTGGCATAGAGATATAATACAAGGAGAGAAAAATGTTCAGTCTCTCTGAGTAGTTGTTAGTTGTTTTAGTGTTAGCCACTATGTAGGTTTTATGGGCTACGTAGTTGTAACAAAGTACCAAGTAGTGTACCTCTTCTCTAAGAGTTTGTAGCTAGAGATTTTGTTAAGCTTGTGTTGCTAATAAGTCTTGGATATTATTTGTTATTGTTGTAAAGATAACGGGATGAATCCTTTCCCATGAGAAAGAAAATCCTGACATAATGGCACCCAAAATTAGCCCTAAGATACCTCTTTTCAAGGTAAGAATACTTCTGTATATTGACATTTTTCTGTCAGTAGCATGATATACAAAGATGATGCAATACATAGCAACAAAGATAGTTGTTTACTCCCAATTTTCTTTTTAAAATGTGAATTAGCAGGAAAAGGGCAATATGCCAAAAGAAGATTGGAGGGGGAGCTAAAAAGTTTTATGAAAGGGCCAAGTATTAGTTTTGATCTGTAGATTACATTAAAAATGTACAGATATTTATGTATGTGACATTTATGCAGAGTTTTAAGGCTTTTATGAGCATTCTACAACTTGAGTATTAGATATTATTTCTATAATTTTAACCCACACTTCATTGTTAAAAATAAATTCCAATTTTACTGTCAATAAATTAAACAGTTAAAACAATAGTTCAATAAATAAAATAATGTATTTAAAATCATAAGCATAAAGCATAAAATCATAAGCTTTAGAACTATGTTATAGGACCACAACAGTGAATCAAATCAGAAAGCCTAGCTCACCAAATGCTTGAGCGATCAGATAGGTCTTCAACTAGTCACGCTCAGTACAAGTCCTATCTGAAGAGAAAGGGAATTGCACAAAGTATCCTGTCTCAAATTGCCATATAGTGAATCCCTGGCAGATGTAATGCTAGGACATTCCTTCTAGATTTGCAACTTCAGAAACAACCTCAAGAATAGCCCTACATACACCTCACTGCAATTATCTAGTCTTGAGGTTAACAGTGTACAAAACATTATATTCAGTGTATCTGTGTCCAGGAACAGCCAGAACTGATAAATTGGCCAGAAAAATGCAATCCTTGCTACAGAGTCTACTTGTGTCTCTACCGATCATAATAAAACTAGAAGCATCCCGATTACACATATATTCCTTTAGAGAAAGTGCACCCTATCCAAATCAGTAACATTTCTAATGTCCAGACAAAAAAAAAACACCTACTTGGAGTGTGTCTATCATGCTGAGACTCAGCCTCAGTTTACTGTCCCTCAGCCAACCCATCAGCAATCTTAGGGAATGCTCAATTTCTGAAATGTTATTTCAGGCATAATCTACATCATGCCTGAGGTGACTTTTTTTGTTTGTTTTTCTGAGAGAAGATTTAAGTTTGAGAACTTAAAAACATTTATACATCTGAATTCATTGTAATTAACATGTAATACAATTTGCACATATTTCATTAAAGAGAGAACCTAAGACAACCAAACAAAAAGTTTGTTAAAAATGAATAGATTTATTATGGACTCAAATTTGGTGGATTCTAGTACACAATCACTTTATCAGATGCAGTATTAATAAGCAAATCTATGGTGTCTCAGTACATAAATGAGGCAGCATTTTGGTACAGCTGAGCCTGAAAAAATACACTGAACTGTAATGGGGATCAAACTGATATGTCTCAGAGGCTAACAAATGATAAAGCTGGTTTTAAACTGACCTGGGGAAAAAGTATTCAGATCTGGGATATATCGTATTCAGGATTATTCTTATAAATGTTTCAGGATTCTTAAGTGGAAATAAAACAAATCAAAGAGCTATCAAAGGTTAAATATTAAATACATTTAAGAGGGAAACAATCTGTCAGTGTTAGAAGCATTCAAGCCAAGTTACAGGAACTGAAAATAGCAAATGGTGCTAAATAGAACATAGTAAACATCTCAGAAACCTATTGGGAAAAAACCCTTGAATATAAAATCTTGGAAAGGACATTGCAGTAATCCTTAAGATACAGGCTAAATAAATTCCTCTATGGCAATGCAAGATAACTTAAGCCCACATAACATTTTGGGGAAGAGAAGCAGCAATGGGTTTGATGATGATGTAAAAACCCATGCAAACAAAAATTCATGTAAAACAATTTTGTATCATTTTCCATTGGTGGAATGAGAAAAAAAAATCTTTGCATTTTTTTTTAAATTAAACCAGCTTTAGACACACATTTTTATGTTTTCTGCAACTATTTTTTCAGCAACTGTGCTACTAAATTTCAGTAGTGCAGTCAGAGAGAGTCCTGGGAAATTAACAAAAGTGGCCAGTTGTGGTTGCATGTTACCATCCCATTACCTGAACTAGAGAATCACAGGCCAGAGAGTTAGGGTCCAAAACACTGATACAATTCTTTATAGGCAAATCATATAACAACAACTTCAAGTAAACTCACACTCATTGGATAAACTTATTTCCAGGTCACAAAAAGAGACAAAGACTTATATTTAGAATACAGGTAGTCCCCAGGTTAAGAACTCCCATTTTAAGTACAAACCATAGCTAAGAACAGAGCCTATTGTAGCAAAATTCAAGTTAAATACACAGTGATTCGAGTTAAATACACAATGGTTCGAGTTAATTACACAATACTACTTTGCAATAATACTGTTCCAGCTTACATTCAAATTCAACTTAAGAACAGACCTTGGGAACAGAACATATTCTTAAACTGGGGACTACCTGTATTTGTGAATGAAAAGGATTCATGCACAAATACTGATGCCATCATGTATCCGTTTAGTCTTTGTGGTGCCACAGGTTCCAATATAGCTACACATTGGATGCTTTATTTTTAACTCAACATACTTTCAAGCAAGAGTAGGGATGAACTCCAGCTTTTCACTTCACAGAATTTTCCAAACAAATACAGAACACACAGATTTAATATAAGAAACATCTGACAACCTGGAGTTTTTAAAAAAGAAAAAAGAAAAAGCAATGTGGTGAAAGCAATGCCCAGACCTTAAAATCCCTACAAAATTAAGTCTGAAACAAAAGTAAACACTACAAAACAAAATGGTAAAAACTTGACTGCAAAGGCAATTTAAGCCTGGCTGGCTGTTAGGGGGGGGTCACTGTATTTCTCACTTGTGAGCCCTCAATGCAAAACACCTGAAAGAAACCTAGTTTCAGTTATTTTGTCTTACTCAACCGGCACTTCTCTGCCCTAGCTAATTCTACAAACGGGGGCACCAAACAGCCTCCTGTACTCTGTCTTTACAAAGATATTCCTCGCCTTGCAGGGATTTTTACCCCTGGTCTCAACCCCGAAGGGCCACCAGTTGACTACCATTTCGCTCCCAGCCAGCCCGAGCACCCTGCTCCCCGAAGTCCTACGCGACTCCTCTTCAACCTCCCTCAGCGGCCCTTCCCACTCGCAGGCAGCCTCTCCCTTGTCCAGCCTACTCACCTGACAGGTCTCCCTCACCAAACTAGCTAAAGCCTTTACTCCCCGGATACCATGCTTGCATCCCTCTCCTTGCCTCTTCATTGTTTCCCCACGTTGCCTCAGCGGCTGCTCCTCAACATTTCTCACGAGGCCAACCCCACAAGAGGTCCTCCTCCATCCCCGAGGGCCAACCCCAACGTCCTTCCCTTCCACTTTGTTTTCAGGAGCCCACCCGGGCCAGAGTTCGCACACAGCCTCCCCATCGATCACGGGGCGCCCCCGGCCATCTGTCTCCTCGGGCTATTTCTCGCCGAGGGAAACGCCGCCTTCTCCAGACAAGTGGGTAAGTCCTCCTCCATTGCCTTTGCCCATTTTACCTGAACGTGATGAGGCTAACCTCGCCACCGCCTCGAGGCACAAGCGGAGAGCTCTGGTTGTCAAAAGTCGCCGCACTTCCTCGGAGCTTCCGACCACGATTGTAACTATCCCCCCCCCCTTTCTGCTGGGACTTGTTGTTCCGCACACGGATGACAGCTATGAACTGCGCAAGCGCAGCCCGTTCAGAAAAGAACTTCCCACTCGCACAGCCAAACCCCGCTCCCCTAGCTCGCCGCGAGAGCTTTTGAGGAAGGCAACCCTGTGACGTGAAACGCGGCGGCTTCCTTTCTGCAGCCACGTGATCCAAGTGATTGCAGTAGCGACCTGTACCGTTCCGCTACGCTGTAGTGCCATTGAGTTGGAACGTTCCAAAGGGGCGCGAGGCTGAAGAAAACAAATCCATCGTGTTGGGTCACATGGGCTCTCCACGTGGGATGCTGGGAGCTGCGGCGTCTTTTTTTTAGGCATCGGGGAAACTATTTAACAAATCTCAGAGATCGCCTTAATTGAAATTGGGGAGCTGTGCACCAAATAATCAAGGGAGGAAGAGGAAGGAGGAAAACAGTTGAAAAAGCTGCCTATCTTCTCCTCCCCCCCCGCCTTGAATTCAGCAACCAGGCAGGACAGCCTCCTGCTACCGGGAGGTGGGTGAAGCGGTTGAAAATTCGGATCGTTATTCACAACGTAACTTTTAAAGTAACCCTAACAGGCTTGCCTTCAGGGCATTCTGCTCCCACATGGGATGGGATGGTTAAAAATGAGCTTGCTTCGATTGCTACTTATGTTAGCTTGTGAATCAGAATCCTAGTTCGTTACTCCATCTTTTAAACTAGCTTGTGAAAGAGATGGGGTTGTGATCGCTCAACCAACTTACTCATGAACTGGAAATAATCATAACTGTCGGAAAAGCTACCTTTCCTTGACTTCAGAAAACAGGCAGGACAGGATACTTGGGTGAAGTGGAGGAGCTAACAAAATCAGCTAGTTTTGCATTACCTGTGTTGTGTAGGATATGCTCTTGTGTTACAAAGAAGATACAACAAAGGAGCATTGCTCTGTTTTCAGAGAATAGCAGCAACAGATAGAAGTTTCTTGGATGGGCAGCAGAAGCAGAATGCAAATTATTTTTACTATCATTTGTTCTGTTTGCCATGTCTTGGTTGACTGGATAGTCGAGTTGGGTGGCTTTATAAATTTAATAAATAAATGCATACGTACAGAGTTGCAGGTTGTATAGTTTCCCTCCTGCGAAGTAATCCCATGAAATTTCAACAAATATGAGCTGCTTTGTTATGGAACTGCAGAGTTGAAGACTAAGGCTCAAGGCTGACATGAGTTCTTATGATTCAATTACTTGAGTCCCATGCCTGCCAATGCAGGATTTCTCCATTCATCTTCCAGAGCTGTATTTCTGTAAATATTGTTCTGCCTCTGTAAGTAATGCTTGGGGAATAATCAATGTGAACTGACACTTTCTGTCCCCCCTCTCCCTCCCCCTCCCCCTGAGGAGGAGAAATGAACATCAGAAAGTTCCTCACTAAACAAAGCCAATTAAGAAAACACATCTCAGGAGAGACCAATGTGTGAGGAGGGAGAAACTAGCATATATTTCTTTTCTGGTGCAGCTCTAAGACCCTTGGAGAAGGCACCCTGACATAAGGAGGATAAAAACTGCAGTGCCAGTGGCACCATCATCTCTTCTACTAGTGTGATGACACTTTGGATCTTCATTTGTTCACCCAAAAGATATAGGAGTGCATGTTAATGTGCAGCAATCCAAACATTTTTTCTAAGAACTGAAAGCATGATGTTCTTCATAATGATTACAAAAGTGATTAAGTGGGCCATACTTCTGCTTGATTGCTTGTATGAACTATCCTGTCACTACTCCCCATATCTCAATGGAACTTCCTACAAGTTCTACATAGTATTGCCACAGGCAGTTCATTGTGGTAAAAGGATGCCTTTATAGAGAAGTCATTCACAATGTACAACAATGTTCATGAAGTGCCAAGAATCACCACCAATGCCTGGTACAGAGGAACACATATCACTGAAGCAAATGTTCTTGCCACAAGGTGGCAACCTGAAATGACCATTGTGTGCCATACTGACAATGCTGCAAAACACGAGGTGCTGGACAATCATAAGAAACTAGGATTCGTACTAATATTATGTACTATAGCACACAGCATGAGAGAGAACTTTGGAGGCACACTTAAGGTCAACATTAAGAGCTGGAAATAATATGGAATCATGGAAACTGCATCATGCAATGCCTGTCATGTATCAGTCCATGTGTAATGTGAACTTACAAAGAATTGTAAAGAGCAGGGTTTCTCATCCAGGGTTCCATGAAACCCTGGGGTTCCATGAGAGGTCACTAGGGGTTCCCTGGGAGATCATGATTTATTTAAAAAAAGCAGAGACCGAAGAAAAACCCTCCAACCTCCAACACTGGGTTGGCCCAACAGCGCACACGTGAACCCTGGGCAGGTGCGGGTGTTGCACATGCACATGCAAGCAGGTAGGTGAGGAGTGAGAAGAAGCAGAGAGAGGAGCGCCAGGTGATGAGAGAGTGCAAGAGAAAGACACGCTGCCAGGGCCTCTGTGCCAGGGCTCTCTTTGCCAGTGTGCACCTGCCTTTCTGCAGGTGCCTGCTTCCCTTTCTGCAGGCACAGCAGCCTGGGCATGGCTCTGTGTCAGGGCGGGTGTAGGAGACCTGGGACTGGGCTGGCCCAGGCACCAGAGGCAGCAGGAGCCACCGACAAAGCGGGGAGGAGCAGGCGGGGGAAATGAAAAAGTGGTAGTGGTGCTGAAGGCTTTAGCATCAAGGTGCCAAAATTTCAGGAGAGATTGAGGAGTCCAAATATTAAGGAGAGGGTTGTTGAAGGTTGCAAGGCGTCAGCCACCTTCTAGTTTCGCAAAGGGGTCCTTGGGAGAGGAAGTGGAAAGGGGGGGGGGACGAGGAAGGAGAAGCTGGAGTTGGGGAATGAGGTGCTGGTGGTGCAGGGAGGAGGCCAGAGGCCAACTAAGCATGCCAGAGTCATCTGCGTCGCTGTGATGCATTTTGCAGTTATCATTCATGATGGTTTGATAAATTGCTCAAAAACTGTACACGCCCTTAAAAGTAGCCCAAAATAGCAAAAAAAAAAAAAAAAATGCAACCTGCAAAGGCCAAACATTTCCCACAA